TTATGCTGGCGGCGGCGCCGCTCCCGGTCTCACAGAAGACGGATCGCTCCCTTAATCACTCTGGAAAAGAACCCCAAGCCGATATAATATTATAATTAATTAATTCACTAAAAAGGTATTAAATTTCTCTCCCCCCTGTGGATATTATCTGAATTCATTGACCTTTAGAAAAATCACCCTCTAATTGTAACCAGGTCCAAAAGCATTTGCAGCCCGTCCCTTCTACATTAATAATATCTTCCCGGACCCGGCTCCGGCTGCTTAAATATTGTATAAATTCCACTGCCCCCCTCAGAAAAGAGAGAGCAAGGAAAAATGAGTCTGGAGGAGGCTGAGAGGGGGAGGGGGCCGGACCCTAAGAGGTGGGGGCCTGGGAGGCAGAACAGGAGGTGAATTGATGGGGCTCTTTCTAGTCGTTCCAGCTGACGTGCCAGGGGGCTTGGAGGGGCACAGGAGGGGAAGGGGGCATGAGTTGGGAGCAGGAGTATTAAATTTGGGGTTCCTTTCTTGGAGGCTGAGGGGTGAGGGGAGAAGATTCATAGTGGTATCTGATCCCCATCCGAGTCAATGGCTCCAAACAGCTCAGGAAGAATCTGATTTAAAGGGACAGTGGGTGCTGGGAACCTGTGAAACTCCAAGGAGGCCTCCGGGGCCTGCTCCTCCCCTCCCCCGCCCCCAGGCCCCACTACAGGTGGTGGGCAGGCCTTGGGGGAGGCGTGGTTGGACGTGGAGGACGCCTACCACTGAGGAGGTAGGTCCTAAGGAACAGAGAGCCAGTGCCGCCCGCCTGGCCTGAGCAGGGCCACCGCCCATGCCTGCCCTTCAATCTTCTGCTAATTCTCCAGGCCCCAGGGGCCTCCGCAGTGAGGTGAGGGGTCAGATAGGCGCATGCCTGCTCTCATCCCGCCTACTCACCCCCAGCTTTTTAAAAATAACTCCCCCTGCGGTGCCCCACAGAAAGGCGATGAAGGACAGGACGCACCCCTCCCTCCCGCTTGCTCAGAGGTGTCATAGCCACGGGCAGGAAGCCATTGGCCTGGCTCCTCTCCACGGGCCTGACGGCTCCTGCAGACCAGTTCTGGACATGAACTTGTGCTTGTGGAAATGGGAGGTGGCACCCCCGCCTGCCTTCACCGGCCCGAGGGGCTGCAGGGCCCCAGGCAGACTGTCTGGAATGTGCAAAGCAGCCCACACTCCCTCCACCCCACTCCCTGATCCCCCAACCTGGTTGACAACTGTTAGCTCCTGACCCTTTGGCGCCCTCTTGTGCGTGGAGCCTCACCCACACCCTCAGTCCTGCCCAATGGGCCACCAGACCCTGCTTCTCCCCCCACCCAACCCCCGGCCCCCATCCCAGGGGCCAGGAAGCCAGCAGGCAGGTGGATGGTGCGGATATGGTGGCCTTGAGGGGCTGTGTGAGGGAGCTGAAGGGATCCTCAGAACCCTCAGGATGAAGGAGAACAAATGGGGTTCTCTTCAAACAGTCACCTGAAGGACCAGCGGCCTACAGCGCTCCCAGACCCCCCACCCGCTCGGTGCCCAAACAGCCGCACCTGGACCCACAGGCATCTCTCAGCTGGGACCCAGGGCTTGTCCCAGGAAGGACTGGGGGTGCTCCCAGCGCCTGGGCAGGTCCCGGCAGTGGGGTGGGGCCTGGAACTGGAAGGAGGTGCCAGTTCCCCAGGCTGGCTCTAACTCCACAAGGTCATCCACGGCTCCCTCTGACCTTGAGATGAATCCTGCAGCCCAGTGCCATCAGCGCCGCGCCCGGCCCCCTCCCCTCCCCGCCCCTCCCCGCACGCGTTAACCGCTCCGCATGGATTTGGTCTCCTGCTCTGCACAGAGGACGCTGCCCTCCATTTCATCCTGGGATTTTCTTACTTTTTTAATTAGGCCCCTCAGCCTCTCCGGGGCCCGTGAGGGGAAATCCATTTTGATCTCTACGTGAAGACACAGGGCAGTGGAGGGAGAACTAGGCAAAGCCCCCAAAGACCCCCGCTCCCTCCGACACCTGGGGTTCAAGCTGCCACTCCACCCCTTGCAGCGCCAACCCCACTTCCCCATCCTGGGCGCGGCCATGCCCCCAGGCCCTGGGCGCAGAGGCCCTGGGAGCTCCTTGGGTGGGACTGGCGCCAGAGGGAAGAGCTACCTGGCCAGAGCCGGCAGAAGCCTGTCCGTGGCTCCACCCGTGTCCTGCGTGCCTGGCTCCTTCCAAACCAGTTCACGTGGGTCCTGGCTCCCCACACCCAGAGGACACCACCCTCCTTGCTAGGGAGCCGGGGCTGCTAGAGACACAGTCAGCGAGCAGAGGGGCTGGCCCGCCTGCTTCTCAAGCCAGGCCGAGCCCGTCAGGGCGGGGAGAATCCGAGAGGCCGCCACCACGAGTGGGGTGGGGAGCAGGAGACACGCGCCCCCTACCCCGGTCAGGGGGAGTCTGGCCAAGGGTGTCCAAACAGCTGCTAAGAACAGTGGACTCAACCTGGTCCCCCGCGTCCCCCTGCCAAGCGGCTCTGGTGAGGCTGGCGTGGCTACAGCGCCATCTCGTGGCCGCGAGGAGGGACTCCCGTCAGCACCAGGCCGGAGGAAGGCGAGCTTTCCCTGGGCAGGGCTGGGGAGCTGGGGGACCAGGGGGCAGGCTTGTTCCCGCCTCTCTGTATCCCCCTGCCCTCACCCGCCCCCCGGGTGCCCAGAAAGGAGCCCCCTGGGTTGAATCCTCCCGTTCTCCTCGGCCCAGACCCACTCCAATGAGACAGGACAAGCGGTTACAAAGCACAGTGTTTACTAAAGGCACAAAGTTGGGGGACTGGAGGGGAGCTGCTCTTCCAGCAGAGACCCCACACTAGCCTGAACCCGGCACCCTCTGCCGGCCACCCCCGCCCTCACACCGCCTGGCGGAGAGCTGTTAGCACCAAAGGGGGGCTGGGGGCGCCCCACCTGTGTGAGGGGGGCAGCCAGGCTGGAGGATGGGCTTGTTGCCATCTGAGTCCCAGAAAAGCAGGCTGGGGCTCCCCCTGGACCAGTCACTGCTTCAGAGAAGGAACTTGCTGAACCCCCTGCTCCAATGAGTCTTTCACTGGTGGGGGTGGGAGCTCAGGCTCAGAAGACAGGATCCTCCAGGGCCTCCTCTCACCTCCAGCACACCCCCTGGGGCCAGGTTCACGACCTCCTCCTGCCCAGCCCATCAGAGGGCTGCCCCCCAGGAGTGGAGTACTGAGCTGGGTGGGGGGGCTTTTCCCGACCCCACAGGCTGCCAAGCAGGCACTAAGTCCAAACCAGGGGCCAAAGGGAGGAGTGAGGCAGGGCAGGTGGCTACTTCACACACAAGTGCAGCCTGAAGGGGGGAGGGAGGCGGCCCTGCCCCCGCAGCCCCCAGGCCTGCCCGTCACTAGCCTGAACCCGGCACCCTCTGCCGGCCACCCCCGCCCTCACACCGCCTGGCGGAGAGCTGTTAGCACCAAAGGGGGGCTGGGGGCGCCCCACCTGTGTGAGGGGGGCAGCCAGGCTGGAGGATGGGCTTGTTGCCATCTGAGTCCCAGAAAAGCAGGCTGGGGCTCCCCCTGGACCAGTCACTGCTTCAGAGAAGGAACTTGCTGAACCCCCTGCTCCAATGAGTCCTTCACTGGTGGGGTGGGAGCTCAGGCTCGGAAGACAGGACCCTCCAGGGCCTCCTCTCACCTCCAGCGCACCCCTGGGGCCAGGTTCACGACCTCCTCCTGCCCAGCCCATCAGAGGGCTGCCCCCGGGAGTACTGAGCCGGGTGGGGGCTTCTCCCGACCCCACAGGCTGCCAAGCGGGCACTAAGTCCAAACGAGGGGCCGAAGGGAGAAGTGAGGCAGGGCAGGTGGCTACTTCACACACAAGTGCAGCCTGAAGGGGGGAGGGAGGCGGCCCTGCCCTCGCAGCCCCCAGGCCTGCCCGTCCCGGGGTCACAGCACGTCGCCCTCTTCCATGCTGAAGCTGCTCCTGCGGCTGCTGGCCTTGGAGGCCGCAGGGGACATGGTGGAGAAGAGGGGGTCGGAGGCCAGCGGCAGCAGGGAGTTGTCCAGGAGCATGAGGTCCAGGTCCTTCTTGGACAGGTTGGGGAACAGGGGGCCGGGCTCTTGCCCCATCGGTTCAGGGTAGCCGGGGGGCCCTTCGTCGCCCCCACCCCCGAAGCTCAGGCTGTGGCTTAAGTCCAGATGGTGGAATGGGGACGGCGGCTGGGGTGGCTGGGCCTGCGGGGGCAGCGGGGTCTGGGGTGGCAGAGCCAGCAGTGACTCAGGGTCGGGGAGCTCGGCCCCCAACAGCAGGGCCTCCCCCGGGCCCTCCTCGCTAGGCAGCTCCTGCTTTACCACTTGCTGGGCCAGCTCGGCCATGTTCATGCCGGACGGGGAGGTGGTGGGGAGGCCGTGCACTCGAGCCTGCATCTCCAGCTCCTGTGTTGTGGGCAGACAGAGGGCTAAGGGCACACACCCATGGACACCAGCTGCCCCAACCCCTGCCCCAGCCCTTGCCCCTCTCCCGTAGCCTCCAAGACCACAAGGTGTCTCAGCACAGGACAGCTCTAGTCCAGAGTCTAGACCTGGGCTTTTTCAAACTCTAAGTCACAACTCATTAGTGGGTTCTGAAACCACTTACAGAGTCTTGACCAGCTCTCCCTCTATTTTCCTTAATTGAAATCGACTTGCCTAGACTAGACTAGACTAGACTAGAAATTACCAGAATGCATTGCATCTATTAAGGAGAGGGCTCTTTGATGACACTTTGATCTTTCACTTTGAGTGTGGCTATGTGTGCTGTATTGTCATGCAAATTACAATTATCTACTGTGAGAAATAGAAAAAAATATAGAAACAGTAAAGCTTCAGTCCAATCGCCCTTTAGATAGATGCCCAGCCTCAGGTCCAAAGAGAGCAGAGGCCCTCTAGCCAGGCCTAGGCTGGACCCCCTGGCTCCAGGTGACTCCCAAGCCGTGCTTCCCTCGTTGGTCTCTATGGCGATCATTAGCACTGTCACCAAATAGTTTCAACTCTCTGCCTTCCACACATGGTAGGTTTGCTCTTTCCTGCCCCCTTGAGGTTAGGTGTGGACATGCACTTGTATTGATCCATTAACTGTAAGCAAAACTGTGACGAGTGCCACCTGAAGAGTAACTATGGCTTTAAGAGCCAGCTCTAGCCCTAACCGGTTTTGCTCAGTGGATAGAGCGTCGGTCTGCGGACTGAGGGGTCCCAGTCAAGGGCATGTACCTTGGTTGCGGGCACATCCCCAGTAGGGGGTGTGCAGGAGGCAGCTGATCAATGTTTCTAACTATCTCTCTCCCTTCCTCTCTGTAAAAAATCAATAAAATATATTTTTTTAAAAAAAGAGCCACTCTAGATGTACCTGTCCCTGGGTCCCAGAATGAAGGTCTCACAGAACAGGACCTCCAGCTGATATCTGCTGCTTAAAGTTGCTGGGAATGTTTGTTACCAAACCATAACATCCTGACTAATACATCTTCCCTTCTCATGGCATCATTCCCATGACTTCAGTAAACACTGCCCCTGAGGTCAAGAGCCAGGCCAGGGGTCAGGAGTCAGAGCTTCCCAAGAGGTCCAAGTGCAGGGGCCAGACCTGGATTCGCAGCCAGAGCTGCTTATTGGTCATCTCTAGGCGCCGAGAGTGGTTCTCGAGCTCCCGGGACTTCTGCAGGTCCTTCTGCATCCTCCGGATGTAATCAACAGAGGCCTTGAGGATGGTGCCCTTGTTCCAGCGCACGTCCCTGCAGGGCAGCAGAACCAGAGGTGTGTGCTCAGGGCGGCCAAGGATTTGCCATGCACTCCACGGGTGGGACGGAAACCCTGCTTTGGTTTCAGAAGCCGATGCCACCTGTCCCAGCTTTGCCCAGGAACCCCAGACCCAGCCAACGCCTACCCGTGGCTGAGGCTGATCTCCCTACACAGGAGAGGGCTCCCAGGCACTTCACTACCACACCCACCTCCCTAATCCCATAGAGCCCAGCGATTCAGAGCAGCCTCCTTCCCCAGGCCTTCCATTTCTGCCCCCAAATCCATACCCATCCTTGACCCTCGTGCTCCTACCCCAAGCCCCCTCCACACCAATCCAATGTCCTCAACAAACTTTCCCACATGGTTCCTCCTCCAGGAAGCCCTCCTGGCCCAGCCTCATTCCAGAACATCTGCTCATCTGCCTGGAGTTTCCCGATTTGAGTGAAGGAGGGACCTTTTCCCAAACAGCTGATAAGCTCTTAGGAGGCAGCAATCAAGGGATTCTCTTCCCGCCCTTCCCCCTGGCAACCAGCATGGGGCTGTTTGTCCCAGCCCCTGCCCTTCCCCCAGAAACCCGCTCACAGGTCGTTGGCCTTCGGGATCAGCATTCCCAACTCCTTGATGCGGTCGTTAATGTTGAACCTCCGTCTCCTTTCAACTAAAGGTAACACATGCAGGAGGGAGCCATTAGAGGCATGAACCCCACCTGGGGAAAAGGGCCCCCCGAGGGAGGGTGCCTTAGCTTCTGGGAAGTAATGGGCGTCCCAAGGAGAGGGATCTCTACCGGATGGGGGGATGGACGCAGCCAGGCACCATCAAGGGGCTCTGCGAGGGGGGCTGCCAGCAGGACCCCCCACTGCCCAGGGGTCCCCTGGTTCCACGCCCAAAAGAAAACAACCTGATAAACTCATTCACTTGGAGATGCTGGGATTTTAGGAATATCTCTCCCCGGGAGCCCCTCTCCCGCCCCTTCCAGAGCCAGGCAGTCTCAGTG